TGTTTCGCAGTTGTAGATACTTTATTATTCTTTTATTATTTCTATCTAAATCCTATCTAAAATCCGTCATCACAATAGGCTGTTTTTTTTTGACCGAACTAAATTAATTAAAGAAAAAATCTATATAAATCTAAATTAATATAATATAGCGAATTGCTATAAAAGTAGAGATAATACTTTAAACTTAATCGGTCATTATTTGGAATTTAACTTTTATGCAACATATTTACCGTAAAATTGGTGAAAATAATGACTAATGGTAATTATTACTCCACAATACAAGTATTCATAACGGAATTAAGTACTTTTTATAATTTAATGACTATGATTGAAATGCGTCATTTTCTTATACTGAAATAACATATATATTCAAAGACTTCTTTGCAACGGCCCAAAATTATGTGATAGTTTGAACCATTACTTTATAGTATAGAATCACATCCGATGGTCCTGAATGTTCAAAACAACCATCCGTATCAAATATATAGAGAATGATGATAATACATGATTGAAAAAAAATAAAAGGCAGGTAATGAAGTTAAGACAAAGACTAATAAGTATGCTTGTTAAAAAAAAAAAAAGTATTAGTATGACATTTTTCTGATCACCATCAAATAGTGTTCATTCTTTGAAAATGACAGTTTGTGATAATCTACTATTAAGCAAAGAGACAATTTTTTAGAAGAAATGAGACAATTGTTTTGGAAGGATTTTACAATAATATGGAATAACGACGATATTTCAAATAATGATATTTACCAGCTTTATATTATAGAAACAAACTCCTCATATAGTTCTTAATTGTTCAATGACAAATTGTTGAGTCTATTTAATTGTGATTCCAATTCATTAATTTCTATTTTTTTTCCTAAAATGTCTTTTATTTCTTCATCAGTCAATACTTCAGATAATTTTTTTTTACATCTTACTAATTGCTTGTGAGCAAATGTGTTGTTATTATACAAAACTTCTTGTTGAGCTTCTACTAAACTTTCTAACCATAGCTGATTGTCTAGATCCAAACTATTTTTAATAACATCCAACTGGTGCACTAAGTTTTCCTCTTTGATTTTTTTAATCTCCAATTTCAAATCACTAAGACTAATGCTTTTAGCGGTTAGGGCCAAATTAGTTAATCTTTCTATTAGATTTTTTAATGTAATGTCGCAAAAAATGAGTCGTTTGTTGCCGTTGAAATTAATATTTTTCAATTTTGGTTTACTACCTAAACTTAAATAACCAAGGGATGTATAATTAATCGTAATTGAAATCAACCCAATACATTTATCAACTTTCAATTTGGTTAACTTTTGTTGTTGCTGTTCAGTACCTACGATTTCTAGTTCCTGTAAACTAACAAAATCATTAAGATCTAGCTCTCCTTCCAAAATGACATTACAAAAGTAATAATTTGGAGGAGTGGAATAATCGTTTTGATATCCATTGATATTATGTTTAGATTTTCTTTTCATATACCCGACACTCAATACGGTATCAAGTTCTTGACGATATTGATAACTACTATAGACACGAAGGGTTGTTGCTTGATTTTTTTTATCCGTCGGAATTGCTCTATTTAACCACTCGTTTGCGTTTGCCATTATTGTTATGAATTGTTAGAAATTTATGTTTTCACTTTTTTATTTTAGAAACAAGACATTTATTAATTTTTGGTTCTTAATAATATTAACACGCACCAATTCTTATGAAATTGCTTATATATATTATCCCAAGTGAATTATGTATTACGTTATGATTAGTGATTGGAATCCTGTAAAGTGTAATTCATTTGATCGAGTTAATTTTACTCGAAGGTTCGAGTTAAAGGAATTAAATCTATTTTGACTCATGAATTAAAATGAGTAAATCAAATAATGATAAATTCGAGTCATTCTAATTATGAATTGACGAGTCAATTATTACTGTAATGTATCAAACTGTTAACATTAAAAGAAAAAGATTATAAGTGCATTATCAGTGTAATGATTATACAAATCATCTACTACTAACCAACCCCAATTAATAAGACTCTTTAATTGAAATTTGGTCTAGTGTCGTCTCGGAATTCGGCGAGTCTATCGCTAAACTAAGCCAACTCTCGTGTAACCTACGGCGGCTAAGTCGAAACAGGCGTGTTAGATTTGGCGAGTGGATT